TGCCTCAATGGGCTCTGTGGGGCTTTGCAGGGGCACAGAGTCTGCCCTGGCCATGCCCCCTCCCGGCCCTTCCTCCTGTCCCCATCTGCTCCATGCCCGCTCCACCCCCGGTGCCCAGGGCTGCTGGAGCAGCAGCGGGGAGCTGGTGGACTGGGCTCTGCCCTCCCAGGGGAGGGTGTTTGCACCTCCTGCTGCCCCCTGGCACAAAGGGGCCCCAGTGCAGATGACTCAGGCCCTGGGCCTGCAGAGGCCTCTGGGCCTGCACCCCCTCTTAGCGCTTCTCGGGCCACCGGTGACCCTGCAGCCTGCACCCTGGGGCCCTGATATGGGATTCCCCTGCTGTCTGCAGGGTCCGTGTGGGGGGTGCCCGGGCTCCCTGGCTTGGCCTCCCCACAGGGAGGGGCCTCCCTCAACCAGGCGGCACCTAATGCGTTTCCAGCCAATGTGGCTATCAGCTCGCGTTGCTGCAGGACTGGCCGGTGCCCACGCAGTCCCAATCCTCTTAAAGGGATGAAGTGGCATAATCCGGCGGGGGCAGGGCATCCCCCTTCCCCCTGCAGGGGTTCAAACATCTGGAAAGCCACAGCCCTCCCATTGCAAAGCCTGGGGGGATTCTCCTGGGCGGGGAGGGAGCTGGCAGCCTGGCTCCATCTCTCTGCTTCCCCTCCTGGCAAGCCGCATGGGGCAGGAACTGAGGCTGGACGCAGCTCGTTGCAGCCGTGGCCACTGCATCCTTGCAGGCACCCCCCTGGCCCAGTGTCTTTCTGACCAACAGCTGCTGGCTCTGCTGCTGGAGACCACGGCCCGACGCACAGCTCCCCGCAGCATCCCCCAACCAACTACCAGAGATTTCTGGCCCCAAATCTCCTGCCCTGGGATGAACTCGGGGCTTGGAGCAGCTTTCTTCAGTGGCATGATTCTGTGTCCCCCACCCCCACGGTAACCCCAGCTGGGATTTTCAATCTGGCTTTCCAAGTCCCAAACTGTCATAACCTCGCCTAATCGCCGTTACTCTTCAGCTCCCTGTCTGCCCACGCTGCCGTCCAGCCTGGCCCCGGCCCTGCCGCCCCCTCCCGTAGCCCAGTGCCCCCTCCTCTCCCTGCTGCCCCCTCATGTTACCCTGCTGCCCCCTGCTTGCCCTGCCACCCCCTCCTCCCCTGCTGCCCCCTGCTTACCACCCCCTCATGTACCCCCAGTGCCCCCTCCTCTCCCTGCCAGCCCCTCACTTAGCCCAGTGCCCCCTCCTCTTCCTGCCACCCCCTCATGTTACCTGCTGCCCCCTCACCCCTCCCTGCCCCCCCACGTATCCCTACAGTCCCCTGCTCACCCTGCCACCCCCTCCTCTTCCTGCCACCCCTCAGGTATCCTTGCTGCCCCCATACATGTCTCTCCTTGACCCCCTTCTGCCTCCCCCCCCCCGTACCTGCTGCCTTTGCTCTACCTCCCCTCCACCCCCGGCCATCCCACCTGCACCCCGGCCCCTTTCTCTCCCCTCTCCCAGGAGGCCATGGGGCCTGCTCCATCCCTTAGGTGCCACCTGCGACCACGCTAGCTAAACCATGCGTGACTCTGTGTGTGGACGGTTTGAAGCTGGCTCGGTTCCGTCCGGTTCGCGTTGTAACCTCCGGCAGGAGCAAAGCAGGGTAAACCGTGAGCGGTTGCATTGCTCCAGCCCCTGTGGGATGGGGGCACCATAGCAGGAGGGGGTGGATAGTAACTCGGGGGGGGGGTTCTACCAAGGGGCAGTGGGACCCCAGGGGGATACGCCCTAGAGAAGGGGAAGAGGAGAAGGAGACGCATAGAGCAGGGAAAGAAAAAAAAAAAGCAAGGAAAAGAAACGCCCGCTGGGAGATGCAGCCCAACAGCTGCCCTGTCCCGGGTCCAGGCTGCCGCCCCCGCAAGTTCCCCCCACCCCATCCCCTTCTTTGTTCCTGGTGGCCTGGATGTTTCGGATCAGTGCCGGTGCCAGGAGCAGCCTCGGAGCCAGATCGCTGACCTGCTGCATGTGGGGATCTTCCATTGGGCCCCCATTAGCTTCCTCCTGAGCCCCCCGTCCCGGGGAAACTCCCCCCACTGCTCTCCCATGCACACCCTGCCCATTGGCCCTGTTTGAGCCCCCTGACCTGGAGGGACAAAAGGCCCCCTAGCCCCCTGCTCCCCCCTGCCCTGGGGAAAGCCCCTCACTGTCCCCCATGAGTCCCTGGCCCTGGGGAAAACCCCTCACTGCTCCCCCATTTGCCCCCTGCCTGGAGGGACCCCCCATTGCTCCCTGGTGGTGTCCTCCTCCCCGGAGGAACCCCCTATCCTGGATGAGTCAGGGAAGAGCCTTTCCCGGTTTCCATGACGCTCAGTTGAGGTTGATATTTTGTTGGGTTGTTTTGTACGGAAATCCCCAGCGAGACACAAGGCCCCCATAGTCCGCGTCACCAGGGGAACGACCTCGGGCCCAGCCGGGCAGAAGGCGCCTGGGAGCAGAGCAATGGCTGCATTGTTGGCTCCCTTTGTTCCTGCGCGGAAGCTGGTGGGACTTCACTCGACCCCCTGCGCCCAATATAGCAGCCCCCGGGCCTGGGCTTCCTGAGTCCCGGGACCCCCGTGCAACCTCTCGCAGGGTCCCCAAACGTTACAATGCCTGGGGTCCGCTCAACAGGGCCGGGAGAGGTGCCCTCCCCCCCGGCATGTGGGAGAAGCTAGAGATGCTGTGCCTCATTTCATCGGGGAGCTGGCTAGGGAAGGGGAGGAGGAGGGCAGGGGACCCGGCAGCCTGACGGTGCCAAGGAATTGATCAGGCCTCTCCCAAGGGGGGAATCCGTTCCCATTAATGTAAGTAGCTGGGGGCTAGGGAATTGCCATCACTCACAGCGGGAATGTGCCCCCGAGCACAGAGCAGGGCAGAGTCGTCCCCAGCCATCTCCCCTTCAGATCAGGTTCTCATGGCTCAGATGGGTTCACACTTGGATCTGATCGCTCTGCGTCCCGGCCAGCCCCAAGTCATGAGTCAGGTGGCAAAACAATCCGGGGATTGGCTCAAAACACATGCAATTTTTTAAAAATAATCACAAAGTGTCAGGGTCTTTCTATTGGCCGTTGGGTTACGTGCCTGTCGGGGTCAAACTTTCCTCTGCAATCCGGAGAGCTAGGAGCTTCTTTTAAAAAAGGAAAGCTGAGATTCCCACGTGACCACCTGACTCCAGGAGCTGGGGCTTTAAGAGAGTGAAACTGGCCATCACATCAGGCAGGCAGGAGCACTGCCTCCTAGAGGGACAAGGGGATATTGAAGAGTTTCCCCAGCCCTCGCTGGGATTCTTCCACCGCAACCTGCCCGGGCAGAGGTGGACGAATGCTTTCCAACCCTCACAGCCATGTTTCTCCCCATTTCACAGATTTCCAGGCCAGCAGGGACCGCTGAGATCACACAGTTTGAGCTCCTGCATAACTCAGGCCGGAGACCCTCCCCGGTGGCTGCTGCATCCGACTCACTAACTCTTGGATGAGGGAGAGCGGATCTTTTAGAAAGAGACCTCCAGCCTTGATACAAGCTCTGGGTCTGAATAATGGGGCCAGGCCTTCCTGGGGCCGTGCCTCTCCTCACGGCTCAGAATCCGAGCCAGAGAAACCGAGACTCCTGCAGATGGGAAGGCACCCCCAGGGGGACATGGGGCACCCCCCCACACACTAGCACAGCATTGACTTTGTCGTCTGGTAACCCACCCCTGATCGACAAGCTCCAGTCAGAGCCTTGTGTTTCCCCAGCAAGGCCGGTTCCAGCCCCTCGCCCGGGAACTTGTCCCCTCGCCCAAGGGGGAGTCAGCACTGTTAAGCTTTCTTCGGGCTCCAGCTAGATTTCCTCCACTTTGGCAAAGGCTGGTGTCTCGGGTGAGACCCACTGCGTCTCGCCAGGACATGGCCCCCACTCCTCCCCAGCAGGGACCCCTCACTGTCTGCCCTACAGCCTTCTCCAGGCTGAACTGGGGCCCCAGGGATGCTGGAGCAATTTGTATCATGGGGGTGCTGACAGCCACTGAACCGCACTGTAAACCCTGCATATGATGGAAACCACTTCAAGCCAGGGGGTGCTGCGGCCCGACTCCCCCACACCCCTAGTCCCAGCACCTAGGCCAGGACCCCACCCAGGCCTCCAACCCAACAGAGATCCACTGATCACTGCCCTGGGTTTCTGGGGTTTTAGACAGCTGTGTCTTCAAGTCCTCACCCTCCTGGCTGCTATCCACACAGACCCACCCACCCCTGCGCACTCACCATCCTGCACATACATCCACCCCTGCGCCGGCTCCTCGCCCCGTGTCTGCGGAAGGCCGGTGACCCTCCCCGGCCGGGGTGAAGCGGGTTTGGGTTGGGGGGCAGCCCCAGGGCCGGGAGGGGTGGCATATGGAGAGAAGAGAAGGGGGAGTGTCGCTTTAAGCCGCTCCCGGACACTCCCTTCCTCCCAGCCGGCCCTCGCCCTCCCCCGCAGCCCCGTCCCCGGCGAGCGGCTGGTGCGGGACGGAGGGTCCCGGGATCAGCCTCAGCCCCGGGGAAGGAGACGCGGCGCTGGGGCAGAGCAGAGAGCGGGCTGGGCTCGGCCCGGGGCAATCCCAGCCGGCGCGGAGCCGAGAAGGGGAAGCCGAGCCCCCGCCAGCAGGGCGCGGACCGGTTCCCAGCGCCGCCCGCGGGCGCAGGGCGCTTTGGCGAGCCGGGCGCTGGGGGCGCGGAGCCGGGGACGGCGCATGGGGGGCTCCGGCCGGCCCCAGGCTCGGGGAAGGGTAGCGAGCGGAGCGGGACCCTGCCCACGGGAGCGCCCCGGGGGAGCCCGGCTGCAGCCTCGGGACCAGGTGAGTGAGAGAGGGGAGGGCAGCGGGGCGAGGGGGGAGGCTGCATGCCCAGCCACCTTCCAACCCCCTCCCCGCCCCGCCCGAGCGATATCCCCTGCGCCCCGCCTACGACCCTCCCTCCATAGGCTGCTCCCTATCTCTCGCTGCATGTCTGTACAGCGCCTGGCACAGCCCTTCGCTCACTCCGGCCTACAACAGGACAGTCTGTCAGGACATGTAGTAAGTGAGAGTAAAGCCATCCCCACTGGCCACAAGCCCCCAGCCGGAGACTCGCTCTGTTAGGTAATGACCACACACCCACACGTCCTTTGTTCCTAAATGCAGCTGTGTCTGGGTGGAGCCTCACCGCCCTTTCCAGGGGGGTTCAGGACTTCAGTTTTGGAAGCTGGGTCCGCCTGCAGCACCAGGAACTGGGGGTGCTGGAACTGGGGGTGCAGCCACGCCCCCTGGCTTGAAGTGGTTTTCATCGTATACAGAGTTTACAATTTGGTTCAATGGCTCTCAGCATCCCCACTCTACAAATTGTTCCAGCCCCCCTACCCCTACTACCAGGCTGAAGGGCCTTCCCCACCACCCACAGGGCAGCACCGTCCCATCACTGTGTGGGGGCCCCGGGGCCTGCACTGACTCAGAGGGGAGAGCCCCCCCGCTATGGATTGTTCCTAATGAGTCACCCGTGCCCCCTAGCCCGGCACTGTGGTCAGTGCCAACTCAGAGGGCAGAGTGCTTCTGGGCGTGGGGGACCAGCTCCCATTCCTGGACCAACATAGCCCAGCCCCGCTGCGTCTGGGATGCCTGGCACATCCCTCGGCCCACGCTGCAGCGTGGGGTGGTGAGGCATGGCAGGAGCCGGGTACGCAGGCCTGGGGGGCGGGATGCAAGAATTGGGGCTGTCCCGGGATGACAAGCCAGCTTCCTGCCCAATTCCAAGCTTGGGGGTTCTTTCCTGTCAAAAGGGGGCAGAAAGCAAGGCCAGTCGTGGAGGTCTCCCAGCCTTGGAGCGGAGAGCAGCCTTGGACTGGGGTGTCCCCAGCTTGGGAAAAGTGTCCTGGAGTTTGCAGAGGCGGGTGGCAGCAGGGGGGGGGCCCTCATGTAATGTGGCACCTCAGCTAGTTACACCCTGTTCCCCCCCCACACACACACCAAGCTGGGGATGCTGGACGCAGGGTGTCCTGTGTGCCGGGCTGGGGAGCCTCCTGTGCCCTGCTGCAGTGGCAGCTGCCCCGGTGGGCCGGTGTCACGGACCTGGCATCTCCCAGGCCTGGCTGTCGAGTGTCACGTCACTGGAGCTCAGGAGTGGCCCCTGGACGCTCCCCAGCCGAGCAGGGCTCCCAGCTGGGTCTCTCTGTGCCGTCTCCCACGCAGGAGGCCAGGCTGTAGCTGCAGAGATGTCGGTGTCCCGGATCCCGGTGCCCACGCGGAGGCTCCAGGCAGCAGGGATTCCAGCTCCCCGGCCCAGAGGCTGCGCTCGCTGCAGGCTTGGCAGATAAAGCTGCCGAGACTGGGAGCTTCGAGGGCCCCCCGTTGCGGATCAGGGCCGTCTGCCGTGCAAACCAGGCCCGGTGCGGGAGGCGCATGGAGGCTGGAGAAGCGCCTCTGCCCGGCAAACACCCCATGGAGCCGCAGCGCCGCCCGGAGCTCAGGCGAGAGACGACGGCGCCCCCCGCCTTGGCACCGGGGGTGCTGCTGCTCCTGGGGCTAATGCTGCCCGCCAGTGCCCGTCCTGTGCCCACCCCGGTGGATGAGAGCGGGGAGGTTGTGGTGAGTCCCACACAGCCATGCGTACGGGGCTGGGAGGGGAACCCCTGATCTGTCCTCTTGACAAGGTTCACTGGGCCTCTGCTTCCTTCCCCAACCTCCAGCTACCCGAGCGGCTGGGGGGGAAAGGGGTGTGGGGGCCAGGATCTCTCGCAGCACTCCCACCCTGCCCCCACAGCTCTGCTGGTGCGCCTCAGTCCCGACCCGCAGCCCCCTGTTGTCCCAGCCCTGGGCACGCCACTTCGGTGTGGACGCGATGTGCGGACAAATGGGCATTGCTGTCTCGAGTCAAGGTTCGAACCCGGGCCGGGAAGGGGGTGGGGCCTTTGCTCTCCCCAGGGAGTTGGTCACTGAGGGGAGAAGTTTCTGGGGTGCCCAGCTGGGCCGGTCGGTGTCTCGGGCGGGGCACCAGGGCCAGTGGCACCGAGAAGCCGAGCGGGCCGGGTGCTTGTGATGGTGTCACTCTCCCGTCTGTGTGTGTGCCCCTTGCCAGGCCTGGCTGACGCAGTACGGCTACCTCCCCCCCGCCGATCCCGTCACCGGCCAGCTCCAGACTTGGGAAGCCGTGACCAGCGCCATCCGCGTGATGCAGCGTTTCGCCGGCGTCCCCGAGACTGGGATCCCAGGTATGCAGAGCCTGCATCCGCCTGCAGCCCCCAGCGCCCCTCCGGCGTCCCCGCCTGTAGCCCCCAGCCCTGTCCCCGCCTGCAGCCCCCAGCGCCCCTCCGTCGTCCCCGCCTGCAGCCCCCCAGCGCCCCTCCGTCGTCCCCGCCTGCAGCCCCCCAGCGCCCCTCCGTCGTCCCCGCCTGCAGCCCCCCAGCGCCCCTCCGTCGTCCCCGCCTGCAGCCCTGCAGACGCCCATCACCTGTGACAACCTGCAGTGTTCCAGCCAGCCGGCAGCCCCAGCCCAACCATCACCCCGACTACACCCTGCCTTGGCCCCCACCTGCAGCACCTGGACCCCCATTTTCCCTCTACAGGCTCCCCTCCTGGTTCTCTCATATCCATCTTCTCGTCTCCACCAGCCTCGCCTGCATCTGCCAACCTGCCTCCGTCTGCCTGGCAACCCCTCTGCATCAGCCCATCTTGCCCCCAGCGGCTACCTGCCCCACTCTGTTAAGGGAACCTCCAAATTCTGTCTGTCTGGTCCGGGATCCACCTCTCAGCTGGGAGACTCTGGCTCCTTTAACCCTCCCCTGCCACGCTGCCCTGTCGGCCCAGACGCTGCCCATGGGCCCCCTGGATAGGATTCATTGCTGGGCCCCCTGCCTGGAGGTTGAGGGAAAGCAGCAGGCTCGCCAGGACCCCTGTGATCAATCTCGTGAGCCAGCCAGTGCCCCCCTTCACGCCAGCCCAGGCCTCTGCCATAGCTACAGGGCGATCCTTCAGGGGCACTGAGGGCCCAGGCGGGTGCAGAGCGGGCTCTCCCCTAAGGCTGTTCTCCAAGAGGCAGTCTGCCTGCAGGGCTCGCTTCGCCCCCAGCTGAGAACTGACAGCTCTGTGCACTGCTGCGCTCTGACCTGCCGGCCGGTGACGTGCCTGTGTTTCCCGCCGCCTTGCCCAGACGATGCCACGCTGGCCCTGATCCGGACGCCGCGCTGCTCGCTGCCCGACGTGCTCCCGGGAAAGTTGCTCGAGAGGAAGAACGGGAGGCAGTGGCGGAAGAGGAGGAAAAGTCGGGGCAGGCGGAGCGCAGGCCTGGCTTGGACCAAGAGGAACATCTCCTGGAAGTAGGTACCGACCCGCCCTGGCGGCCATCAGATCCCTGCTCCCCAGCTGGCCTGGGATGTGAGGCCAACACAGACCCGCCAGGGCACCTTGGAGCAAACCTCATGGCTAGTCACCCAGGGCATTCCAGTGCCACTGCGTCTCGTGGGGTGTAACTCGGCCAGGCTGCTCAGAGACACGCTCAGCGAAGTGTGTTAATCAGGGATTGGCTAAATAAACCCCTCTGGCTCTCCTAGCCCTAATCCAGCGCTGTCCAAACTCTCACACTCCGGTAATGAAATTAACAAGGGCTCCAAAAGGCTGAGCTACTGAACGGGGTTTTTAAACCTGCCCCTAACACAACACCCACCCCCAGACACCCCACAGCCAGAGGAAAAGTGGACAGGTAGGAAGAAACAGATCTCCAAATAGCAGTGGCTAGAGAATGGGGAAGGGGGCATGGACAAAATGTGTATAAATCAACCGGGCTGAGTGGTGTTCTTGGGAGTTAAAGGAATATGGCTAATCAATCCGTTGCATTCGCTAGCAATTAGTGTTGGGGAAGTTGGAAATGGAGAGGTGGGGGGTACAAGCCAGCTGGAACAAAGCAAACCTGGGGGCCGAGTCCTCTGAAAGGGGTAGGAACATCATCTGGCAGGTACAGAGACCGTCAGCTCTTTGGTGCAGGGGCTGCCTTGGCTTTTAGCTCTGTGTTTGAGCAGCGCCTGGCACAGGGGGGTCAGGTGATGCTGAAGTGGGAGCTGGGGGAGCCGGGAGCCGACGCAAAGGGTCTCGGAGAGGTTAGACACGCAGGCAGGAGATGACAACCAGCACAGTATCGCACGGAGACGTGCAGAGAGGCCTGCCCAGCAGTGCCCGTGGACGCGCTGAGTGGAAAACCAAGGGCTTTGATCCGCAAGAATCCACGCTGGTTTGCCCACAAGGCCCTGGGCTTTCCCTGTTAAATGCCAGAGACCCGAATGGACCCAGGAAAATGGAGACAGTGACACCAGGGCATTCGCCCATATTAGGGGGTGCAAAACTGCCGGGTCTCAGAGCCGCTAGCTCGTCCCCGGTGCACGGGCTGCTTCGGGTTCACCCTGGTGCAGCCCCCCCGCCCTTCCCCCCCATGACAGGTCCCCCCTCGCTCTCGCCACCTCGCTCGCGTGGATTGTTGCTGCAGGAAGCAGAGGCACCTGCTGGGCTGCACTTTCGCCCCATGCCCGAGCAATGGGGCACCGGCGGAGCTGCGGGGGGGGGGGGCAGGAGCCGAGGATGGGGCTGGCAGGGGATGCGGGTCAGGAGTGAGGGGCACTGGCGGAGCCTGGGGGGGGTGGGGAACCCAGGGCTGGGCTGGCAGGGGCTGTGGGTTGGGATTGAGGGGCGCTGGCAGAGCTGGGAGGTGGGGAGCCTGGGGTTGGGATATCAGGGACTGTGGGGCAGAGTGAGGGGCACGGATGGCTCACCCCCAGCTGGTTTGTGGCCGTGTCTGTTTCCTGACCGTGGGGCTGGCCCCGGTCCCCCTGGGCCCCTCTCTTGGCGCTCCGCCTGGCAGGGTGAAGACGTACCCGCGGGAGGCGCGGCTCAGCCGGGAGACCATCCGCGCGCTCACGCACTACGCGCTGAAGGTGTGGAGCGAGGCCGCCCCGCTCACCTTCCACGAGGTGGGTGGATCCGGCGCCGACGTCTCGGTGGAGTTCCTGCACCTGGACCACCGGGACGGCTACCCCTTCGACGGGCCGGGGGGCATGGTGGCCCACGCCTTCTTCCCCGGGGACCCCCAGCGCGCCGGCCACGTGCACTTCGACAGCGACGAGGACTGGACCTTCCGCTCGCCAGGTGGGCCCCGGGACAGGAAGGGGGCGCCCCGTCTGGGCAGGGCCTGCCCGCCTCTCCCCCCCATTAGTGCCAGGCTCCTCACTCCCCCCCCCCGTCCCCCTTGCAGATGACTACGGGACGGATCTCTTTGCTGTGGCCGTGCACGAGTTTGGTCACAGCCTGGGCCTGGCGCACTCGCCCTCCACGCGCTCCATCATGCGCCCGTATTACCAGGGCCCGGTGGGGGACCCGCTGCAGTACCAGCTACAGGCCGATGACCGTGCGGACATCCAGAGGCTCTACGGTATGGCCCGGCGGGGCGGGACTGGGGTGGGAGCCCTCTCTGCGCGGCCCTAATGCCAGGCTGCGTCTCCAGGACGGTCTCCAAGCCAGAAGCCCAGGTTTTGTGCCCAGCTGTTGCAAACAGGCCTCTGACAGGGGACTAGCACTGGGGGGGTGGCCGATCCGGCAGGTCTGTGTCCCATGCACCGAGCGAGCCAGTGCTCAGCGTCAGCCAGCCAGCGCTGGATGAGCTGAACTCGGAGCTCGTTTTTGGGGTGCACTGCCGTCTCCCAGGAGAGCAAGCAGTGTGGATAAAGCAGCTGTCGGGGTGGGGCTCAGAGCGGCTGCTGCCCGGCGAGGCTGCACTGACCCGCAGCTCGTTGTGTGGGGCTGAGAACTAGCTCGGTGCAGGATGCGGTGGCTGGGCTGTGGGGAGGCTGATGGCCACGTCCTCTCACCCCGCATCCAGGAAGCCCTGTCCTGCATTCCACAGAGAAGCCGGAGGCATCGTCGCTGCTCCCGGACCCGCCGTCCCTGCCCCACGACTTCCCTGCCTTGAGGTGAGCCGAGACCATCCCTTTTCCCTCCCCACCCTGCTCTCAGACCCACGGAGCATCACTGCCCCCTCACGCGGGTGTGGGCCTGGCCCGGCTGGGATCCCAGGGGTCAGCTAGCAGCTCCCGCTATCCCCGGCGGGTTCCGTGGGGTATCCAGTTCATTCAGAACCGGGGAACCCCTGGTTCTAGGCCTGTGTGCTGAGCGGCCCCTGGGCGAATCTAGAGCCAGGTGAATGAGCAGCACACTGGCAAATGAAAGTCGGTGACAACACGTGCCGCAGACACCTAGCAGGGTCCTGTGTTAACAGCATCCACTTGGGAAAGAGACCTGGGCACCCATCTCAGAGGGGTTCAGAGAGGGGTGAGGAAAACTCTTTCACATAGCGTGACGAGCCCGTGGAACTCCTTGCCACAAGATGTCAGTGAGGCCAAGAACTCCGCCGGAATCCAGCAGAGACTGGGTATTTCTGTGGATAAACTGGACTCTCCAGAGTTATCACAGTTAAGGATTATAATGTTTTTGGAAGGTCTCATAAACCTGCCCATCTCTAACGACTGGAGACCTAAAGTAGGGGACAGATTGTCCCCACCTGCGACTGCGGGATTCCTACACCTCAGGACACAGGGCGAGATGGACCTTGGATCTGACCCGTCTGGCAAACCTAGGCCCCCGTGGGGTTTGCAGTTGGGCTGTCAGGTGGCAGTGGGGCTAGCGAGGTGCAGAGCACATGCGGGGCCCCGTGGGGGGACCGGACGCAGGTACAACCTCAGCCCCAGCCTCTCTGCCAGGCTGGGGGTATTTCCGCGGCTCTGCCTGCGGGCAGAGGTTCCCGGGCCCTGTGGGAGGGCCGGAGGGGAGCCGACCGCCTGCCGCTGACGCGCTCCCCACTGCCGTGGCAGGTCGGAGAAGGAGTTCCCGGATCGCTGCTCCTCCAGCATCGACGCCGTCGCCCAGATCCGCGGGGAAACCTTCTTTTTCAAAGGTCTGTCCCTGCGCGTGGGGGGTCGGCCCACTGAACTCCGTGGGGGGACCAGCCAGCTCCCTCTGCCCCACACGCGGGGGGACGGGGACGCTGGTATTATGGTGTAGTGGGGTGACCCCGGCGCCGGTGGGACCAGCTGCCTCTTCGCCCTGTGGTGGGGGGCAGCTCCCCAAGGGAAAGCCGTGGGTCAGGCCTGTAAGGGCACGACCTCCGGCAGGGAGCATGCTCCCATGCCAGGGGGGTGGTGCTGCCGGGGGTGGGATGTGGATGGGGTGCTGTGGGGAGGGCATCCCGGCGAGCGAGGGGAGAGACAGTGTGGGGGTTCCCTTGTGCCCCTGCCCTCCTCCCCTCACCCGCCCGTGCTGCCAGACCCACCTCCTCCCTGCCCCAGCTGCCCCTTCCCTCCCTGTTCTCTCGGCGGCCCCCAGCCCTCGCCCCGTGGGGCCCCCGGCCTGGCTGCTGTGCCAATAGCCCCATCCGCCTGGCAGCCCTGGGCCGCCTCCGTGCCCCGGGCCTTCCCCAGCTCCCAGCAGGCAGGAAAAGGCCCCTTGTCCCTCCGTTCCAGGGCGCAGCCCCTCCTCCTCGTGCCCCTGGCTTGGGAGAGGCTTTTCCCGAGGGGCAGGGGGGCTGAGTCTGCCCCTGGCCGAGGGGCTCTGCTCAGAGCCACCCCAGCAGCCCTGCAGCTGCCCCCATGCAACACCCGGGCGCGAGGGGCTGCACCAGCTTCACCTCTGGGTGCTGGCCATGCCTGGCCAAACCATGCCCGGCGCGGGGCCCATCTCCCCCCCGGGCCTCTCAGCGCTGCACTGCCAGGGGCTTTCCTCGAATGGGGGCCCCGGCTGTGGCATCCGCTCTCCCTGGCCTGATGCCGCTGGGCACAGGGGGCAGCCGCTAACCTCCTGTCTCCCCCCGCCCCGAGCCAGGTCAGTACTTCTGGCGTCTGACCCACGAGCGACACCTCACCTCCCTGCGCCCCGCCCTGAGCGCGGCTTTCTGGCGAGGCCTGCCCCGCAGCCTGGGCAAAGTGGACGCCGTTTACGAGAGGCACACGGACCATCGGATCCTCTTCTTCAGCGGTGAGAGCCGGGGGCACGGGGCAGCAAAGTGACGGGCACCGCAGGGCCAGCCGGGGCATGGCGAGGAGCCGTCCTGCGCCCTGGGGGTGGAACGCACCCTCGTTCTGCCCAGCCACCCCCCAGCAGCCCACACCGGGCACCCTTGGGTGGGGCTGCAGGACAATCACAAACGATCCCCCTGCATCTCATCATCTCCTGGGGGTCGGAGCTGAGCGGAGAGGCCTCGGCAAGGGAATGGGGCCGGTCCCCCAGCTGTCTCCTGTGCCCCGTCTGCTTCCTTCAGCACCAGGCTGCCTGGCGTTCGCTCACTGCCCCCCCTCTCCCCCAGGGCCCCTCTACTGGGTGTTTCGGGACAACGGCGTGGAGGAGGGCTACCCGCGCCCCGTCACGGACTTCGGCCTGCCCCAGGGGGGAGTGGATGCCGCCTTCTCGCGGCCGCACGATCAGAAAACCTACTTCTTCAAGGGTGGGCTGCAGTGGTCCTACGACGAGGCCCTGGGGCGCATGGACGAGGGGTCCCCCACCCACACCGTGCTCGAGGGGCAGCTCCCCACCCCTGTGGACAACATGCTGAGTGGGAGTGATGGTGAGTCGCCCCCCTTGCTCCCACCCCCTGCCTCGTGGTGATTCAGCCTCTCAGTTCCTGCGTGTTAAAGGGGACCCCCCCTGTGTCCCATGGAGACTCCCCAACCTGTCACTCTGCCCCCCCTGGGTAAAGGATACACCCCTGGGCCCTATAGAGACTCCCTGCTCTGTGTCTCCAGCCCCCAGTCCCTGCGTGTTACAGGGGACCCCTTGTGCCCTGCCCTGTCCCTCAGCCCCTCTCCCCCACCCTTTAGCGGTTCGCAGAGCCCTGACGCCCTCGTGACGCCTGTCTCCCCGCAGGAGAGGTCTACGCCTTCAAGGGCAGGCAGTACTGGAAGCTGGAGTGGCACAGTCTCAAGCTGGAGAAGGGCTACCCTCGCTCCATTGCCAGGGACTGGCTGGGCTGCACCGGGGAGCTCTCCCCGCCGCTGAGCGCCCCCACCGGGCCCCCCACGGGAGCCAAGCTGCAGCCGGACTGGCGGGGCCCCCCGCTGGAGGTGGAGCGCTGCGTGTGCCCCAGCTCGGCCCCCCGGGCCGCGCTCGCCTGGCCACTGGCCGCCCTGCTGCTGCTGCGGGGCCTCGGCTAGGCTGGCAGCCGGGGCCGTCCCCGGCCTGCGGACTAACCCTGGAGGCAGCAGGCCAGGCCAGGGCGCTGCTGGGGAACCCTGGGGGTGGGGGGCGCGCCCCCGAAGGTCGGCGCTGCAGGCCGGGTTCCGGTGCAGGGGATCTACAGGGGTCCGAGGCCTGGGCAGCGCGAATACCCGCGAGTCAGGGCGTGCCCAGGGGCGGCCCGCGGCGCTCTGTCTGCGGGCAGTGGCATGGGACGGGTCCCCGGGTGAGCGGCCCGCTAACCGCCCGCGGGGGTAGAGCCGGGGCGGGAGCACAGGCCACCTCCAGTCGCTCGGAGAAAGTGCTTGTCCCTCTCCCCCGACGGCCTTCAGCCCCCCATGGCCGGGCGGGCGGGCGCCCAGGTGGCCCAGCTGGGCCCGCGCCAGCCAGGGCCTGGCCTCAGCACCTTGGCCAGGGCCTGTCAGCTGCACCCAGTGCAGCGGGGCCGAGTGATGGGCCCTCCGTGATCCACTGACGATGATGCCAGCTCCTGCCACGGGGCACCAGCTCTCCATCGCCCTGACTTCACCCTCCATTACCCCAGCTCTCTGTCCCCATCTCCCTGACCCCCCCCGAGCTCCCATTGCCCCAGCTCCCCCCCTCCACGCCCCATCTTGCCTCAGGTGCCCCCGGCCCTGACACTGGGGGGCAGGAATGGAGGGAGGCGGGGGGGGGGGGGATGCTCTACTCCAGCTTAGCTTGCAGAGCAGGAAGCTAAATTATACACCAGGTGCCCGGGGGCCTGGGCCTGCCCCACACCCTGCCAGCTCCCAGCCGGCCTCTGTGCTCTGGTGCTCAGCGCCCAGGGGCTGTGTGTCCCCGGCAGCGAGAGAAAGTCCCTGCCCCATGAGCACTGCTAGCCCCCCCGCCCTCCCCTCCCGCTTCCTCCGGGGCCTTCTCCGAGTCCCGTGAAGCCGCTGGCCCCCCTGCGGCACTGTGCAAACAGCCCCAATGTGCCCAAATGACCCAGGAGCCCTGAGCAGCCGCTACTGCCTGCCCCAGGATGGGACCCAGTCCTTCACCCTCCTGTCCAGAGGGGACTTCCTCCCTCTGGCCCTCCCGTGGGGTGGCAGGGTCGAAGGGGCCCCGGGGACTGCACCCTACTAGGGCAGAGCCTGTATCTGCTCAGTGCTTCTCTTGCCCAGCCCGAGCCCTGCTGGGCCAGAGCATTCGCACCCCCGGCCATGTCCCCGGGGCTGCCCTCCGGCCTGGGGGCAGAGGTGAGGCCGGGCACAGGAGCGTGAGGCCCAGAGCGGGAGCAGCCGAGAGCCAGCACTCCTGTTAGAACCATGCCAATGGCTTGGGGGCCATCTCCGGCCGGGGTCCCTGGCCCCATAGCAAGCCCCCCGCCCCCTTTGAAGCATCAGAGAGAGTTCAGAGACAGGCCCCCAGGCTGCAAGGGGCAGGTCTAGAGCAGAGAGCCCTATGGCCTCCGGGTGCCGGCTGCAGCCTCCCACAGCAACCGAATGTCGCTGGACTCTGCTAAACCCTGCCCTGCCTTCCCCATGAGCTCCCCAGTGCCCATCCCCTCTCTCCGGCCCCTCTGCCTTAGCCCGCATCTGCTGAGCGGCCGTGGCCTCCCGCAGTCCTCCCCTCGCAGGATCTCTCCGGCATCCGGCGGCCAAACCCCGCTCAAGCTCCGGAGCTCCTTCTGCATCAGTGCCTGGGAGACGCCCTCTGTTCCCTCGCTGGGGGGCCCCTCGCTCCCCACGTCCCTCCCCATGGGCGGCTGTTGTCCCTCAGGCCTGGACTGGCGTGCATGCTCCCTGCGGCCAGGAGCTGCCGGGGCTGAGGGGGGAAATGGCACCATGCCCCGTTCTGGTCCTTGCCCTTCCAAATCTCTCCCCCCCCCCCCCCCCGGCCGCCCCGCTCAAGGGAAGGAGGCGAGAGGAGGCAGAAGGGGCCCGTGCGGGTCCTTTAATGAGATGCCTGGTGGCTACAGAGCGGAGGGCAGGCCCGTAGATGAAGCAGCGCCGGGCGGCCTGGGGCAGGCTCCGGGTTCACTTCCAGCTTGCGAAGAACTGCTTGAAGAGAGGACTCTCACGGCCCTGGGGCAGGATCTCCACCTGCAGCAGAGAGAGGGATGGATGCCGGTGAGGCAGGGCGAGCCCTGTGCTCCTAGCATGAGGTGGGGGGCACGGTGGGGTCCCAGAGATTCCCCCCATGCATAGGAGGAGAGATCTGCCTTGGGGTGAAGGGCCCTGGGCACCACCTCTGTGCTCTCTGTGGGGGGAAGCCAGGCTGGGGTGGAGAGCCTGGCCCAAAGATGCCCTGATTTTATAGGGACAGTCCCGATATTCAGGGCTTTTTCTGATATAGGCACCTATTCCCCCCCACACACACACACACTCTGTCCTGATTTTTCACACTTGCTGTCTGGTCACCCTACTGGCAGGGAGCCCCCCATCACCTCCCCGTTTCCCTCCCGCCCCCCAGGAGCCCGCCGGGGCCCAGCGCTCACTCACCTGAGTCTTCGGGGAGTATTTCATACGGGAGATGAAATCCTCAGCCACTTTCAGGGCTGCCTCCCGTTCCTGCTGGTTGGCTTTGCGACCTGGGAGGGAGGCAGGGAAGGGTCAGGGCAGCTGATCCCCCACACAGAGGGGACAAGTCTGGGGGGACAGGGCTGCGTGCTCCGCTGAGCACCCCTGGCACTGGGGGAGGTGCCCAGGGTCCGGTGCTAACCCTGGGCAGAGTGACCGTGGGGCAGACGCAGACGGCAGGGAGCCGGAAGGGCCTGGGATGGAGAAGAACGGGCCAGCTGGGAAGGAGCTCCTGGGGGAGGGAGCAGGGCCGGCAGGGTCCCTGTGTGCAGATCACCCTGGCTCCCTTGCTGGGGACTCAGCCGAGGGCCTCATACTGCAGCTGGGCTGCTCAGCCGGAGCAGGAAGCCCAAGTGGGCGGAGGGAAACGCCCATGCAGGCAGGGGGCAGGGGAAGGGGACAGGGTGGCCGGGCAGTGAGAACGCAGCCGCGGTGCCCCCATCCGTGGCCCCCGCGCCGGGCTGTGAGCTCTGGCCAGCACGGGGATCAGCCCCACCAGCCACGGGGGCAGAGCTCGGGGCACAGAGAGAGCGGGAAATGCCCTTGTGTGGCCGTTCCCGCAGTGCACCGGGCTGCCGCATGGCCCTATGCCGGGAGCGCCCGCCGAGAGCCGAAAGCTACGCAGTGATGCCCGAGACAGTGACCCGCCTGATGGGCCGGTGCCATGGCTGAATCGCGAGAACGGCCGCCGTTTTCCAGAGCAGCTAGGCCCAGATCCTGAACGGCATCCCAGCGCCTACCTCCCATTGACTTCAGTGAGATAGGTGCCTAAATCCCTTGGGGGATCTAGGCTAGTGGGGGGCGGGGGGAGCTACACGTGGCTCCGTACCCGCTCCACATGTTTAGGCTGACTGGAAACCCAGACCCCTTGGAAGGCAGCTCCAGATGGGACCCCAAGGAGGCTTCGGAAAGCCTGGGCTGTTGGCGGTGGGCGCGGGCCACACCTCGGAGGGGAAGGTGGCAGAGGGGCTACGCTGGCTCTGGGCGAGGGCTCAGTGGGCAGCTAATGGGCAGGACAGGAAGGGCGAGTGGCAGGGAAATCCCAGCCCAAGCCTTCCTAGAGACAGGGGAACCCGCAAGAAACTGACTCGTGAGGGGTTCGGCCAGCTGGCTCCCTGCGGGTGGGCCGGGACGGCTGGGTAAGTTCACGCAGTGGCATCCGTGCTCTGCCCTGCAGGCAGCTGGGAGCTCCCCTGCCTGGTGCCAGCTGCCACAATACATGAAAGCCAGCTGGGTGTGCCCTGAAAGCTGCTTGGTGCAGAGGTGTCCTGCAACGGGGAAGGGGGGCGGGGTGAGCGGGAGGGGAGGTGGGCCTGCGGGCTAGGGGGTGGGAGTGGGGTGAACGAGAGGGGAGGTGGGCCTGCGGGCTAGGGGGTGGGAGTGGGGCTGGGTGTGGGGTGAGCGGGAGGGGAGGTGGGGCTGGGGGCTAGGGGGGTGGGAGTGGAGGGTGGGGCGAATCGGAGGAAAGGTGGGGCTGGGAGCATGGCAGGTGGGAAGGGGGGTGGGAGTGGGGTGAACGGGAGGGGGAGGTGGGCCTGCGGGCTAGGGGGGTGGAAGTGGGGCTGGGGGTAGGGTGAACGGGAGGGAAGGTGGGGCTGAGGACTAGGGGGCGGGAGTGGGGTGAACGAGAGGGGAGGTGGGCCTGTGGGCTAGGGGGGGTGGAAGTGGGGCTGGGGGTGGGGTGAACGGGAGGGGAGGTGGGGCTGGGGGCTAGGGGGGGGTGAGAGGTGGGGGGGGGGCCTGGGGGGGTGGGGTGGGGCTGGGGGTGGGGTGAGTGGGAGGGGAGGTGGGGCTGGGGGCTAGGGGGGTGAGAGTGGAGGGTGGGCGAATCAGAGGAAAGGTGGGGCTGGGAGCATGGCAGGTGGGAAGGGGGGTGGGAATGGGGCTGGGTGTGGGATGAACGGGAGGGGAGGTGGGGCTGGGGGCATGGCGGGTGGGAAGGGGGTGGGGTGAATCAGAGGGGAGGTGGGGCTGGGGGCATGGCGGGTGGGAAGGGGGCTGGGGGTGGGTTGAACGGGAGGGGAGGTGGGGCTGGGGCCTAGAGGGGTGGGAGTGGAGGGTGGGGCGAATCGGAGGAAAGGTGGGGCTGGGGGCATGGCAGGTGGGAAGGGGGGTGGGGTGAATCAGAGGGGAGGTGAGGCTGGGGGCACGGCGCATGGGAAGGGGCTGGGGCTGGGTGTGGGGTGAACGGGAGGGGAGGTGGGGCTGGGGGCACCCCCCACAGGAGGCTCGCTGGTACCGCCCGGGCCCTGGGCCGCGTGTCTCTGCCCCCCCGCAGAGCCAGCTGGCCCCTGGCGGGCCGGCCATGCCCGGTACCTTTCCACACGTAGATCTTGCCGCACTGGCCGTTGTCCAGGACGAAGCAGTCGTCGGTGCAGAGCAGGCCCTGGCTGAAGGGGCTGCTCCCGGACATCTTGGTTAGGTTCATCTTCCCCGTCGCGTCCGACACCTGCCGGGGCCAAGGAGAGGCGGATCCCTTCAGCGCCTTTCCCCCTACGCTGCCGAACCCACCCCGGGGAGCCCAGCCCCTCACTCAGCACTCAGCCCTGTTCCCCAGCTGCCCCACAACCCCCCCAGCCTGCAGCCCCCTCAGCCTGCAGCCCCAGCCCTGCTCCCCAGCGCCCCGCTGCGCCCAGGCCGTGGTGGGGGGCTCTGCCCGTGGTGGGGCAGGAGCTCCGGAGATGGGGTGGGGAGCCCTTGCCTTATAGAGAGCAGCCGCCCCTGCGTTCTTCTGATCCGCCGTGACGTCCTCCTCGGGGCTGCCCTGCCTCAGAGCGGGCTTGGGACCCAGCACCTAGGGAAAGGGGAAATCTGTCAGAGCCAGCGCCGCCCCGGTGTTTTCCCCAGGAGTTGAAATGGGGGGCAGGGCGTTCAAATGCACAGGGCGGGGGTCAGGGCCGATGAGACCGTGAGGGTGAAGGTGGGCTGTGTGGCACCACGGTAAAAACTGAAAAATGTTTCATGACCATTTAATTTGTGTGATGATTGAAAAATCAAATAAAAGCCGGCTCCTCAAGCCTCCGATGAAGCACGACGTCTACATCCTTCTTGGTTTCTTGTTATAATTTT